TGGGCTCTCATAATTACACATTTGTATCTTTCCTCAGAGCTGTGATCCAGTGGGTATGTGAGTAGTGTGCATGTTGCTAATTTGTTGGCTAGCGTGTATGGGTGGTTTAGGGTATGCATGTACAGCATTTTAATCCAAGTTTGTCAGGTGCTGAGTATAGCTTGAGCTTTGTGTAAGTGGTTCTCTTGTTGATATGTTATTCTATTTTCATCTTCTTCTATTAGCGTGGTTTGTCGTGCCTGCTATGGTGATCAGTTCTACATAATGCATTTTGCGGTGCTTATGGCCTAGGTTGTGGGTGCACTTCCTTTGATTTCCGTAGTGTATTGGGGGGGAATGAGTGCAGTACACTCGGCCTGCTAGATCATGCAGTATGTGTTTGTGCGATGTGGTTTACAGATAGCGTCTCATTCATAGAAGCAGTCACCCTGCATAATAATCTGACATAAAAATCTGCGTCCTTAGGTTACACTCATCATATATGCACAACATCAGCTATTACAGTTTACAATAGACGTCAGGATTACCCCTAGCTCTCTGGGGTCCCCTCTTTCAACTTGTACGCATATGATACGGGCCCTCTCTGTTTCCCGGAGTACTCCATGAGTATCATATGTGAGGAGTACTCCCCCTGCCAGAATCATATTGTGTGTATTGTTATTTGACTATTTAAACATATTATATGCTAATCAAAGCAATTAACCTTGTTTGAACTGAAACAAGAACTATGAACATGATATTATTATATGTGAATATCTCACATGCCCCTGGTTTTGGCTTTGTCAGCCGAGTTCACCGAGCAAGTCACGGGGATTTGGCTTGTGCTGGGGCTACCATTCTGGTATCAGTCGCTTAGTTGGACTCGTCTGGGTTTCGGGGGGGGGGGATCTGTTGCGAGCCCCCATTCTCTTAGGGTCCGGGTGCCTTCGTCCGGTGTGTAGATAATTTTGAGCTCACCGTTTTTCGTGATTAATAGCTTGGTGGGGTATCCCCAGCGGTATCTAATTCCAGCGCGGCGCAGCTTCTCTGTCACCGGGTGAAAGTCCCTTCTGCGTGTGAGGGTTGCCGTGGATAAGTCAGCCAGTATCTTAACTTTTGCATAGGTCCCATGCGGTTCTGTGGAGTTCCTACTGGCTCGCAACACCGCTTCCTTTATATGAAAGTAATGTGCTCTCAGCAGGGCGTCCCGGGGGATGGAATCAGGTAGGTTGCGTGGCTTGGGCACCCTGTGTACCCGGTCCACTAGAAGCATCTCTGTGGGTATGTCCGGAGCGTATGCCCGCAGGAGGCCCTGGACATAGGCCTGGAGATCATTCGGCAAGATGCTCTCTGGGACTCCTCTCAATCTGAGGTTATTCCTTCCTGAGCGATCTTCGGCATCCGCCGTGCGTGCTTCCATTGTTGCTATTTTATGTTCCAGTGTCGCCACATGGTCAGCCATGTCGTTATGTGCTGTAGCATATTCGCTCAGTTTGTTTTCCACGTGTGTGGTTCTGCTGCCAATGTCTTGGATCTCCTTGCTGAGTTGTCAAATTGAGGATTGCCATGTTTTTATGAGTTTGTCAGCCATGTTGTTCATCGCCTCATCTAGGTGTGATTTGGTCAGGCTTTCCTGGCTTTCATGTGATGGGCCTGTGTTTGTGATGTTTCCCGCTGTTTGGTCGTCGGCGCCATCTTGATTTGGGCCACGATCAACTTCAGAGCTGCTCCCGGTTTTGTGGGTAAAGAAATTCAGTTTTTCATTTTTCTGTGCGTTCTTCTTCCCTTTGGGGTTTGACATCATGCGTTTTGGTATGTTTTTTAGTGCCCTGAGAGGCGATGTTGTCGGATTCTGAGAGCTCGGGTGCCAGAGCAATTTCCTAAGCAACCAGGTTGCTCGGCAGTTGGCCACGCCCCCCCCCTTTTCTTATTTTTTATCTTGTTTTACTTCTCTACTAAGCCACTGGTTTTAATTTGTTTCTTTTATATTTATTTCCCAACGGTACAAACTGAGAAATGTACCTTTTTAATATTTGTTGGAAGATGATCCATTTATCCTCAGTGTTCTTTTCACTAAATAGTTTATGCCAGTCAATATATTGTAAAGCTTCCCTTAACTTATTGAAATTGGCCTTTTTAAAATTATATGTTTTAGTATTCCCCATGTGCTTTTGTTTTTTTGAGTTTATTTCAAAGGACACTATATTGTGATCACTATTTCCCAAGTGCTCACCTACTTGAATGTTGGTCAAAAGATCAACGTTGTTTGTTAAAACCAGGTCCAGACAAGCGTCCATTCTAGTTGGTGCTTGTACAAGTTGTGACATGAAGGTGTCATTTAACAAGTTTAAAAACCTAATTCCCTTTGCTGAGGTACTAGTCCCTCTGTCCCAATTTATGTCCGGGTAATTTAAAATCTCCAATAATTAAAGTGTTACCCAGATTTGCAGCTTTCTCAATTCTCAAACAGCTGTTGTTCCTTGTCAATATTAACATTAGGTGGTTTATAACATATCCCAACCAATAGTTGGTTTTCCTTCTTTTCCCCCAAGCAGATATTTACCCATAAAGTTTCCACATTTTCCTCATCGCATTCCATTTGCTTAACATTTGGCTTTATATCATGGTTGACATACAAACATACCCCACCACCCTTCTTATTTTTCCTATCCTTCCTAAATAACATGTACCCATTTAACTTAACTGCCCAGTCATGTGTCTCATCCCACCATGTTTCAGCTATGCCTATTATATCATATTGTTTAGTGTATGCTAATGCCTCTAGTTCTCCCATTTTGTTATTTAGGCTCCTTGCATTAGTAAGCATACATTTAATATTATGCGTCACTTGTATATTTTGTGAATTATCAACATTACATAGCTTCTCTGTTCTGAGCTTGCCCCTCCCCCCGTCTCCACCCCCCTTGTACTGTGTTAAAGCCCATCTCCTTTCTGTCCTATCTGCATTTTGTAGATTGCTATGACCCTCCCCCCCTGCTACTAGTTTAAAATCTCCTCCAACCTTCTAGCCATCCTATCCCCCAGCACTGCAGACCCTCTCCCGTTTAGGTGCAATCCATCACCACTATAAAGGTTGTACCAAATCGCAAAGTCAGCCCAGTGCTCTAAAAACCCAGAACACCAAGACTTAAGCCATGCATTGACCTCTCTAATCTCCCGCTGCCTTTCCACTGCAGCGTGTGGCACAGGTAATATCTCAGAGAATACCACCTTGGAGGTCCTTTTCTTAAGTTTGCTACCTAATTCCCTGAAATCATTCTTTAGGACCTTCCATCTTCCTCTTACTTTGTCATTGGTACCAACATGGACCATGACCGCTGAGTCATCCCCAGCCCCTCCCAATAATCCATCCACTCTGTCAGCAACATGCCGGACCCGAGCACCCGGGAGACAGCAAACTGTCCGGTTGAGCTGATCAGAGCGGCAGATTGGCCTGTCTGCTCTCCTAATGATAGAGTCCCCCTACCACCACAGCCTGTCTTGCCTTCCTTACATTTTGATCCCCACCCGTACTAGGGGTTACTAGAAGTAACAGCTTCCTATAATACATCTACTCCTGAGCTGATGCTCCCAACATCTTCCCTCAAATGGGCAAATCTGCTAGGTTGCACCAAATCAGGACTAGCTAGCCCTTTCCTCTTCCCTCCCCCACTTTCACCCAGCTACATGCCTGTTCCCCATCTGTCTTATCTCATCCCTCTCCACTACCTGTACCCACTAAACTCTGCTCAGTGAGCAGCAGACTCCTCTCAAGGTTGTCAATCTCCCTCAAAGTTGCGATTTGCTTCTCGAGATCTCTAATCTGAGCTTCCAGAGAAGCCACTCACACACAACCATCACAGAGGTATGGACCCTGGACGGGTACATCCAGGCATCCATACATGCAACAAGATGTGCATTGAGTCAAACCAGCAATCTTGCTAACACTCATTTCCCCAGAAACAGAAAATTAAAACAATTACCTTGTTAGTTTAAACCCCTTGTTAGTTTCAACTCCTGGTTTTCTAACTCCTACTTGAAAGAGTCTACTTAATAGAGTCTGCTTTCAAGTAATGTGAGCAAGCTCAGTGAGTTAGGGGTGTGCCTTTATGGGGGATACTTTCTGACAGTGCTTCCAATTCCTCCTGAACCTGTCCCATCTCTATGACTTCTTTTTTTCTTCTTTCTTCTTCTTTGCCTGCTGCACCTCCAAACCTCTGCATCTGACCTCTATAAGGGTGAGTGTGACGAGACCAATCTCGCCACATTGCATTGGAGAAGCCTGGTTGCTCGCCTGCTGCCTTTGGACTATGGCCCCCTGTTAAAAGACATCTTTTTTACCTGCAGAAAAGCTTCATTCGTGCTTTTCTGCCTGGGGTTCAGTAGATTTGTTTGAATGTGTTATACCCCAGATAGGAATCCCATGGAGCCCATTCATATGAAACTGTTCTGTTTTAATTATGTTATGTGATTACCTGAGGGATGGGAATTTCCCCGAATGTATATTGTTCCGATTGGTTATACTGCTAATTATGTGGGTGTCTCCCTTGCATGGGCAGAATCTCATAAAAGCAGAGTGTGTGCCATTAAACATCAGACCACTGCTTGACCCTCAACACGGATCTTTGTCTCGTTCTTGGGGGGGATTCACTGTATGCTGTTAGAGACTGATTGCCAGGAGTGTAAGCTGATTGTCTGCTTTTCCTGTTCGTCTGCTAGCAGCTATTTGGGAGGTTCCAGTTCGGGAGTTGGAGAGCTATTTTGTATCCAGTCCGGGAGTTTGGTGTTCTGCAGTAGCTGTGCAGTATCTCTGGAAAGGGGGCCGATCGCCTAAACGGTTTTTACCCCTTGTGTGCAAAACGGTCCGTTACAGTGAGATAAGGGCCTCATGGGAGTGGTGGCAGTCCGCACTGTCACTTTGGTGGCCATTTGAACTTTGGCCACTATGGGGGCACTGGGCATGACCCTGGGGGCTGCCTCTGCCTGATGGTCCTGGTTGGAGCTCCTCTGGCCTGGAGGAGCTATGGCTCTGGGAGAACAGCACTCAAAGCAATGTGGTGTTCTACCTCTCTATCATGCTCCCTCAAAGTCCCCACAATGCACAGCACAGCCACATCATAGAGTAGTCGTTGTTCTCCTTCAGTCTTCCTGGGCTGACAGTCTGACAGCTGCATGGCTGTCATTACTACCGAGTGTGTTGCCGGATCTGCCAGGCGGCCATCCGGCCCAGCGACACCACCATCCTCACCTGCGCTGCAGCTGTGTCCAGCCCCTCTGAGCGTGCAGCACTCATCCTCACCGCGGAGCATCTGAGATCAGCCGCGGCGGCTCCACTCTGCCTCTGCTTACTCCCTCATACTCAGAGGGATGCTGCACAGCCCCAGATACTGCCCACCTTGAAATTTCTCGGTATCCCAGTGGGCCAGTCGGGTCCTGAAGACAGCGGATGTTTTTTAGGGCAGCCTGTGGGGCAATTGCCTCCCTGCCCCCCATCCTAGCCCACCCATGCTACTTATTTCCATTTTCATAGTCTCTGTATTTTTGCAAGGTATATTTATCACTCCAGCATTTATCACTAAATATAACAACCAAGCACACATCATTCAAAACACACTCAGAAAACATTAAACCTAAAACTAATGCTAGCTCCAACCCTAAAAAAATATAGACTTTATGAAGAACAGGGATGGAACCAAAGGATTCCAGAGATGCAAAAAATGCCACGGGTGCAAAAATAATCCTTCTCAAGAACCAATTAGTTACAAATTTACTTCTTTATCATTTCTATGTTACTTGTAATGAAAGAGTTAACAACAAGCCTGTTCAAATACACATTGTAAAGATAGCTAATTAAGCTCATAATTAACATTCCCAGCATTAGTCTATATAAACTGCTGGATACAATGGAAATCACAAGCCTCTGATGAAGTAGGGCTGTCCTACGAAACGCGTAAGGCAGCTGAAACTGAGAGGAGGAGTAACAAGTGGATACATTTTTGCGATCATCCCTGCAGACTGAAAAATCTCTGACCCAGCATCTGTACCTTTCCGTGAGACTACAGCCCCCCCCTTGATGTGAGGTCAGAGGCGGAGCATACAAGAACTCACAAGCCGTCCTCACCGGCTGTCTGGATACAGAGACAACAAACCCCAAACACAATCCACATCCATCCTGGTCTGGACAGCAGGTTTTATTGCTTATTCCACTTGATACTTAACAGACTGTTTACCTACCTCAGATTTTCATCAATTTTTTTTATATACTTCATATGTTTATTAATTTTTAAGATTTTAATAAATTCATTGTTTTACTAAGTAACTCTTTCTTCAAGTAAAACAAATTACGAATGTAGCGCTTATGTGTAAAGAAATTAATCACCTTTTAAAGTTTTTGGAGCAAAATTTCACTGGAAAATCGGCAGGAAAAGTGTCTATAAAAGATAATCATACATAGTATAGATCACACTTATATACATTTATTATTAATAAGTAGTAGATAAACTCACAAACGGAGAGCTATGGACTTAGCTCTAGTTTGATTAGCCTCTGGGTCCATACAGGTGATCCACCCCTCCTCACAATGTGTTTCTGAGGTCTGTGGATGAATAGAAATACACCAAATTGCGCAGTATAGTTTATAATATCTCTGAGAAAATATATATGGTCTTTAAGTGGGTACTCACAAGTGTGGAGTCAAAATATATTGACTCAATTTTGTAGCATTGTGCAGATTCGGGACTGCACTCCCCGTTCAATATAACGATATCAGGAACCAGGATCGTTTAAAAAGTAATAAAAGATTTTATTAATACACTTATATATATATAAATAAAAAAGCCTCAATGTGCTTAAAAATACCGGGATGCGTTTCGCCACTACAAACGTGGCTTCTTCAAACCGGATTGTAATAAAGCAATGATCCTGGAACTCCTCTTCTCAAGTTTAAATATCCAAAAAAACGGCGGGCAAATTCTAAAGCACATTAACCGTCACACGTCAGTACCACCCACAGGTACGACGTGTGCGGTCCATGCCTCCCTTTCATGTTGGTACCGGGAGCGGAGATAGTTATAGTCTTTCTTATCATTCCAATTTGTCTTGGTTTTCCGTACAGTACCTCATATTTATTTTCAATAGTTGATGTGTATCTTAAAAATTCATCATTTTGTATTAAAATTAAATCTTTTAATGTCCACAAAAGTCCATCTGACGAGAAATGACATTTGTTCCCATATAAAAGAAAGAAAGAAAAAAAGGAAACAAAGAAAAAACAGAAGGCAGCATCAGTTTTCTTATTATTACAAATGTTTCAATCTCTTTTATCTGTAACATTTTGTTTCATAAATTGTAGTCCATAGTGATACTATAGCAGATACATTGTCAATTTTAGTTATCAATGGGCATTTTACATTTCAATTTTGATTTAATCAATAGAAATAAACACCCCAAATAAAATTGTAGTGTTGTTGCATATCACCTTTCTTTTCTTATTATTTACATTAATCTTAAAATTGTGTCGAAAGTAGGCAAAATGATAGCACATCTTTATATTTTATTCTTAAATGTCCGCATTAATTTATGGTTCTTCATAGACAGCAGATTAATTGGCTAATTGCAAAGAGAGTTATAATATTGCAAATAAATTGAGTCATTACAGAAACAATTATAATTATTATTGTTTAGACCCCGATCTACTAGTTTAGTGATCTAAACAGAATAATCTTCAAATCCTTTTTGCATACATCGTTGTAGATTATTATAAATTAGTTATCTAAACGAAGTTGTCTCCAAATCTTTTATGCATATATCGTTATAAGTGGTTATGAATTAATTAAAAATAAATTATCCACCATATTAAATCTTATTAAACCTATATGATTACTTCTAAAACCCAATACAAAATAAATATATAAAAAAAAAAAAAAAGTTCCATGTGGAAGTCTAACTGCATATTCTTCCCTACTAAGATCTTAAAAAATATACATAAATACTTTAATAATAACCTAAAAAATCCATATAGATTAAAATAGTGATAGTAGTAATGATGTATACAAATTCCCGTAAAAACCAGTGGAATAAAAAAATAAAAATAAATAAATAATAATATAGAAGGGAAAAATCATAAAAAATGGCACAACTCAAAATCTACATTAAGGCCGTGTGGGGTCAACGTATTTAATCTGTAAATCCATTTCATCTCACGTTTACCTAAATCTCTTATGAAATCTCCACCTCTCCAATTTTTATTTACTTTATTTATCCCCATAAACTGTAAACCCTCTGGTTTTTGATCATGACATAATTTAAAGTGGCTCGAGACACTATGTTGCTCGAAACCTGTCTGGATTTTATATATGTGTTCTCTGATTCTGGTATGTAGTGGTCTTGTTGTCCTTCCCACATATTTTAGTCCGCATGGACAGATTAAGAGGTACACTACATTCTTGGTATAGCATGTTATGAATTGCTTAATTTGAATTTTCCTATCCTTATTTGATGTTATGTCCTTTATTACTCTTCGCTTACATCCTGACTTTTTGCAGGCAGAACACTGACCACAACCATAAAAACCCTTCTCATTATTAAATAAAGTAGAGGTGTGGTTTTGTTCTTTTAAAGAACTCCGAACCAGGGTATTCCTCAAATTTTTTGCACCCCTATAGATCATCCTAGGTTTCACCGGAAGAATTTGTTTCAATGCTGGATCCTGTAATAGGATCGGCCAATATTTATTAATAATTCGGTTTATTTGATAGTTATTGTTATTGTAATTACAAATAAAAGGAATGTCTTGCGTATTGGTGATGGTTTTAGTTTTGTATACTAATAAATCCTTTCTCTCTTTATTCCTTATTTCATTTCTTGATTTTTCTAATTTTTCTACATCATAACCTTTCGCAACAAAGTCAGTTTTTATCCGTGATGATTGTTCATCATAAACTTTCAAATCGCTGCAATTCCGTCTAATTCTAAGGAATTGTCCCTTTGGGGCATTTTCCAACCATGGAGAGTGGTGGCAGCTTATGCTCTCTATAAAACTATTACAATCAACTTTTTTTAAATGGTTTTTAGTTTTGATTTTACCTTCTTCAATAAAAATATCAAGATCTAAAAAGGTTACTGTTTCTTTACTCCAAGTGCTACTTAGCCTGATACCCCAATCATTGGTGTTTAAAAATTCTAAAACAGAGACGAGGTCACTTTCTTCTCCCCTCCAAATCAATAGAATATCATCGATATAGCGGCCATAGAAGGCCAAGTTCCCCCCCCCAGCCATGCCCCTCATAGACGTAAGAGTCTTCCCAAAAAGACATAAATAGGTTAGCATAGCTGGGGGCGAACTTGGTCACCATGGTCGTCCCATTCGTCTGTAGGAAGAAGGTATCGTTATACCAGAAAAAATTATTATTTAGAATGAGTTTTATTCCTTCCACTATGCATTCTATTTGTTCTTGTTTAAATTCTTTTGATTCCGTTAAAAAATGTCTCGCTGCTCTACACCCATAGGAATGGGGAATGTTACTGTAAAGGGCCGCCACATCACAAGTAACTAGAATACAGTCACTATCCCAAGGCATATCTTCCAGAATTTGCAAGACTGTAATCGTATCCTTGATATGTGATCTGGTTTTCAGGACTAAAGGTTGCAATTGAACATCTATATACTGTGATAGTCTACTTGAAATGGAATCCCTTCTGATCCAACTAAGACATACCTTTCAGAACTACAATCATTACTCAACCAGGCTTTAGAAAAAGATATCATTAAGAGAGAGGAACATAGATTTATGATCCCCAATAATAGTCCTACTATCTCGACTTTTTATTGCCTTCCCAAAGTGCATAAGTGCCTCACCAATCCACCAGGGAGGCCAATTATTTCTGGGAACAATTCCTTGACGGAAAAAGTCAGTAAATTTTTAGAAAAACTTTTGCATCCTTTTGTCACTAATTTAGAGTCCTATGTCCAGGACACTAAACAAACTCTATTAGCCTTGGAGAATTTAGTGGTCCCTCCATATACCCAACTTGCCAGTTTGGATGTTGTGTCCCTGTACAATAACATACCACATAATAAAGGTCTATGTGCAACCGCTTATTTTCTTCATAAATCCATCAAATACAACTCTGAACAAATTGAAACCATCTTGCTACTTTTAGAGTTTGTTCTCACCCACAATTACTTTGTGTTTGATGGTACACATTACTTACAGCTACGTGGTACTGCTATGGGCACGGCTTGTGCCCCTAGCTATGCCAATTTGTATTTAGGGTGGTGGGAAGAAACGATTTTAAAAGAGGTCACAGC